GTTTCTCGGCAGTGGGCGGAGCTAATGCGCGAACAGCTCTCGTTGGTTGGCGCTCATCTATTACCGTCCCTGTTTTGATTTCAGCAAATCAGTTCGAGCGAACGCTGACAACGTGATTAATATTCATGAACCCAGCAGATAATAGTAGTAGTAGTAGTAGTAGTATCTTTTAATAATAATTACTATTACCTATGACCAACAATATCTTAAACACCACCACCAGTCCTAAGTTCAGTTAAAATGACAAATATGCATTCATTCATGGTTACCAAGCTGTAGTTCTAATCACTACTTCTATCATTAAATAGTGCTTAATTATCATAATATCATAATATAATGCTTGATTGGCTGAAGTTTAGAGTACACATTCAGTTATTTAAGAAGCTGTTCCATTTTACAAAGATAAGCTGATTGGGTGGAATCATGTGTGTGTGTGTGTGTGTGTGTGTACCTACTTAACCATATTTTGGGGACAAATTTGTACCCAAAAGTGAGCAAAGCCTGACAAAATCAGCAAAAAACTCAATTTGTGGATGTCCTCATTTGTAAAACTGTTATAAAAATAAAGTAAACAAAGGTTTTTTTTACTTTTGAAATTGTAAAAATGCAGAAAGTTTTCTGTGTGGGGTAGGGTTAGGGGTGGGTTTAGGTTAAAAAGTGTATAACTATCTGTATATAAAAACAATAGAAGTCTATGTAATGTCCCCATTTAGATAGCTAACTAAACGTGTGTGTGTGTGTGTGTGTGTGTGTGTGTGTGTGTGTGTGTGTGTAATAGAGTGAGTGTGTGTATAGTGTGTGTGTGTGTGTGTAATAGAGTGAGTGTGTGTATAGTGTGTGTGTGTGAGAGAGAGAGTGTGTGTGTGTGTGTGTGTGCATGAGTGAGTATAGTGTGTGTGTGTGTGTGTGTGTGTGTGTGTGTGAGAGAGAGAGAGTGTGTATATTGTGTGTGTGTGAGAGAGAGAGTGTGTGTGTGTGTGTGCATGAGTGAGTATAGTGTGTGTGTGTGTGTGTGTGTGTGTGTGTGAGAGAGAGAGAGTGTGTATATTGTGTGTGTGTGAGAGAGAGAGTGTGTGTGTGTGTGTGCATGAGTGAGTATAGTGTGTGTGTGTGTGTGTGTGTGTGTGTGTGAGAGAGAGAGAGTGTGTATATTGTGTGTGTGTGAGAGAGAGAGTGTGTGTGTGTGTGTGCATGAGTGAGTATAGTGTGTGTGTGTGTGTGTGTGTGTGTGTGTGAGAGAGAGAGAGTGTGTGTATAGTGTGTGTGTGAGAGAGAGAGAGTGTGTGTGTGTGTGTGCATGAGTGAGTGAGTATAGTGTGTGTGTGTGTGTGTGTGTGTGTGTGTGTTTGTGTGTATGAGTGTGTGTGTGTTCGGTTATCAGCACATCCCTAGTAAAAAAGTAATATAATTAAATTCCTTTATTTCATACTAAGTATAGTTAAAATCTATTAACATATTTACTGACAGATAACTCGAGACTTACTGATATAAAAATTATAATTAAACTTTACTTGGCATATTACTTGTGCATAATATACTTTTCTTAATATTAAGTCTAAAATGTATTTTAATGGCACTTTTGATGAGGATTGTATGATCTTTGAATAATATCACATTTTAAATGCTAAATATTTAAAGTGTACCTGAAGCACACTTGCAATAGTTCCACTTTAGCACAATCAAATATACTAAGAATATCTTTAATTGGACTTCAGCACCATTCTGCACAATTAAAGTGCATTAAGTACAAAATTAGTTGTTCCAGTTTAGTATACTAAAAGCAAAATTGCAGGACATTTTATTAAGTACATAAATATAAAAATGTATTTGTAGTATGCTTAGCATGAAATAAATGTATGTGAAATACATTTAAGTACTGTATATGTATTTTCCACTAGGGATGTGCTGGTTAAGGATCCGTTTCAGGTGTTTAACCCGTCAGGTGTTCATCTGTCAGAATAAACTCACTGTTTACATTCGGCTCAATGATTGACGTCGCACAGGCTGATGGTCTTGGACAGTTTAACTCGGTGTCAGTCGGACTTGTTACTCAATCGGCCAGATTAACCTGCGAACGGCCCACCCGGGGCTAATTATAGACGAGCGGTGGAGACTGACTGTCTGATCATTCATCATCTTAGAGTTCGACTCCGTTTGATGTCAAATACACTAAACGAGTCTTTAACATTAGCATCAATGTGACGCGGAGCTGCCTGAGCTCAGAGGAGAGGAGCAGCAAGAAATAAACCACACATAAGATGCATCTGAAATTGCATACTTCCCTTGTATAGTAGGCAGTGTTGTGGGTAACGCATTACAAGTTACATAATCAGATTCACAGATTAAAATTCACTTTTGGTGTGAAAGGGCCCTTACAGCTGCCAAAAAGCCCAGCTCAGGTGACAAAAAGTAACGTAATAAATTACTTTCCAAAAAAAGTAACTAATGCAATTGGATACTTTATGGAGTAACGCAATATTGTAATGCATTACTTTAAAAAATTAACTTTCCCCAGCACTGATAATAGGCGAAAAACAGAATGTGACAACAAAATAAACCAGAATGTGTCTGAATTCAAAGTACTCACAAAAAGGTAGCCGGATGACCTACTACTTCTGCAGAGGTGTAAAGAGTACCTAAAAACCATACTTGAGTAAAAGTACAGATACCTTACAGTGAAAATTACTCCAGTACACGTTACAAGTCACCAATTCCAAAACAACTTGAGTAAAAGTCTTAGAGTATCTGATTTTAACAGTACTTAAGTATTTTACTTATACTAAATATAGGCTCAAAGATGCACTAGTCAAAGAGACACGCTAGTGAAAAACTGTAACGTTGTGGAGAAGATGCGGAAAACAGGCAGAGGCAAGGATCTATGTGCTGGTGTTTAACGGAAAAACTAGAACAAACAATAAGCCAAAAACCAAAGAACAGAATGACTGGCAAACACAACCATTACGTTCAACAACTCACAAAGGAACTAAAGAACAACTAGGGCTATATATACACACAGGGGGCTAACAAGCTTAACAAGATAAGACACACCTGGGGCGACTAATCAAGGTGAACCAATGAACAAACGGACTACAAACTGACTACAAACACCACGGTAGACAGAAAGTGACATAAAAGTCCAGGGCAAGGCACAGAGAGCATGAAACAAAAACAAGAAAGAGTTTATTTGTGAGGAGAGCAATCGCGTTTATTTTTTAGAACCAAAATAAAACTGAACACCTCA